TATGCAATAGAGGAAAGAGCACAATATTTGGAGTCAGAGAATCTTGGTTTTAGCTTAGGTCAAAGGATGAAATTCAGCTTCTTAAATCATGACACGGAGATAAGACGTATTACTGCTTGTCAAGATTTCTAAGAGGAATGAGTAAAGCAATGAAGGAAAGGGTCTTGCGGAAGAGTAAAGCATTAGGCAAATGTTTTATTTTTAATTATATTCTACTATTTGTTTGACACTTAGAATTTATTATCTTGAATTATTTACTATGTATGTAATTTTCTGCTATAAATTGGGATAGAGTTATTGCAGGAACAAATAGTCCTCCAATCTCAATGCCCTTATAAAATAAAAGTCTCATCCTTCTCACTGACACTGTTGATTTCAGATGTTCCTCTTCAGGTGGTTCTCTGGGCTCATTCACCTCTAAGCAGAAACTCGGGACCCCAGGTCCTTTCCGTCTTGTGGCTCTGCCATGTTGTGGCTGCCAGGTCACCCTGGCGCTACCCAGCCAGCAGACAGCAGGGCAAGTAGGATTTCACGAAGAAAGCCACAAACTTACATAGAGCCCGGAAGTGTCGTGAACCGCTTCTCCTCCTACTCTGCCGGGCAAAACTAGTCATGTCTCCCCCTCCTCGTTGCAGGGGGCCTCAGAAATATGATATTTCTGTGCTTTGGGAGGGAAAGAAATATCTGCATAAATATATAACGCTGTCTAAGACACCAGGCCCGATTCACAACCAGTCTATAAGCCCTTCTGTCCCTAACCCTTGAGCCCCAGCTCCCAATCAGTGTTTGTGCTAATAATGAAGCAATTTAAATACGTTTATTTATTTTTCTCCCTGAATTATTTACAATGACCTCAATCAGTTGACAACTGGGACAAAGAGCTTCCAAAGCACTATGCACCATTAGAGAAAACACAGGGAAGATACTCTCGGGGAAACCCAGCCTGATGAGGGAGAGAGAGCCCACATAAATACATCTAAACACCAACTACAGACTCTGCCAAATACTCAGAACCAACTGCAGCTGTGCAGGGGAAAACATTCACCTGTAGAGAGTGAGAAAGGGAGTAACGACAGGGGACAAGCGGGATGTCTGAATTAATTAGAGCCAGGAGGAGACCACTGGAGAAGGCTAAAGTTTACACAGCATTTTTCAATAGCATATAATTTTCCTTGCTTAAAAGATACAAAATTTAGAAAATGCAGAAAAGTACAAAACATTTTAAGAAATCACCCATAATCCCAATACCCAGCCACGCTCCATACATGGCTATCTCCATGGAGATGACTATAATTTACCTTTTTGTATAGGTTCTTCCCATCTTTTTTTCTAAGCATACATTCCCCGCCTCCTCAAATATCATACTCTCCAGGTTTTGTGGTTTTAAAACTCACCAGTGTAGTCTGAATGGACCGCACTGGTCATATTCAGAACATGACTTTCAACTGTCTGCATATTCAACTACGATCAGGAATAAATTGTTTTAAATTTTTCCCTCATAAAAAATGGTGGGTTGAAACGTCTCTTTGTAGCCATCTTTGTACACGTCTCTGGTGATTTTGCCCTCAGAAGAATTGTAATAAGTAGGGACTAACATTCATTGAATTTTATGATGTGTTTATCCAAGAATTAAGTTCCTTAGAGGCAGTATCTCATTGAAACCTCAGAACAACCGTCATGCCAGTACTAGAAGGTGAGGAAACAGTGAACTAGAGAGGTAGAATCGCCTGCCCAACGTGGCACGGCTAGTGCGCGGCAGAACTGAATGCGAGCCTGGGCTGGCTGACTTCAGGAGCCCAAGTTCCATCCACTGTGAGCATACCCTGCCCCAGGAGTCCACTTCAATTCTCACCAGTAGATTAACCCCCACGGAAAGCTGACAGAGTAATGGATGTGGCTTGAGAAGAGGCATGTATAATCAGCATGAATGGTTTATGCTTAAAGAAGAGAGAGAGGGTAAAGTTTTATGAGGGATAATCACTTTGCCAGGTTGAAGTAAAAAAATATGAGCTAGTGTGTCCAGGGGGGTGAATTCATTTCAAAGGAGGGTCTCCAAGCCAAAGTTCAGTTGTGTTGAAAAATTATTTCAAGAGACAATGAGAGTGCCTGTCCGGTCATACAAAGAGGGGTGAATGTCAAAACAATACTTGATAAAGATGTACTTGGTTTCATTCGCTGATTTAGGAAAACTGGCTTTCAGCTTGCAGAATGAGATAAGATCCAAGATTCAGAAGTCCTTTCGGAGACCTTCCGTCTTAATTTTCTCCCAGTCTGACATGTTCTCTGTGGGAATGCGACTCTCTTCACGGTAGCTGTAGAGTTTTAAGGGAACCTTCCGAAAGGCATGACCTTGGAGGCCTTTTCCATTTCTAGCCTTTCTGCATGGCCACTTCTCTGAGCTCATTCCAAATCTTAGATGGAATTAGGGCAGGAGCCATTGCCGACAAGAGACAAGAATGTTCACCAGAGGCATTTTTCGGGGCAGAGAACAGCAGGATGCGTATGCGCTCTCTCTGACCTCCCACCACCTGGATTCGAACATGGGCCCCACCACTTGGTGGCCACTAGGACGCTGGGCTATTTACTTATCCTCTCTGTGTCTGTTTTTCCAATGGTAAAATGGGGTGTTAATAATACCTACTGTAGAGGCCCACTGTGAAGATTAAATGAGTAAAAACAAATCATAAACGTTAGCTATCATTAGCTGCACAAGGTAAAAGGCGCAGCTTGGTGATGCTGGCGCTCAGGCTGGCGCTTGGAATGCTGCAGGTCCTCGGATAAATGTGCCTGCACTCAAACCGGGAGGCCAGTTCTTCCTAAGTCAGATCATTCTTGCCCCCGAGGAAGGAACATCTGTTGCAGACTATCTTAAACATCCGTGTGGACAACCACAGACAGACTACCCCTATCACTTTTGTTTTCCCTTCTGCACTTCCTGGGCAGTCACACAGAGGCCCGGGGCCAGCACTGCTACCTTGTGAGCAACACAGGGAACTCTCAGACCACATCCCCGACCCCCCACCCTGTGTGTGCCTTTCTTCCTGGCTTCGCTCCTGTTCACCGCTTAGGTCCTCTCTACGCACACAATTGAAACCTCTCCGCTCCTTTCCTGCTTTCCCGTTTCTTGTCCTGCTACCTTTGCTGTTGTGGAAGTTGAATGGAGGCCAGGGAGGGACCTCTGTCTTCCTGTTTCCTCCTTTAGTCTTGAGGGATCGTTTGGAGTCAGACAACTAGAGTCATCTGTCTTCAGAGTTTTGGAAGTACCCCGAAGGCTTCTACAGAAATTACTCAAAAGTCTCCCTCTACTATCTCAAAAATCCATCACTGGAACTGATCTTCCTAGATGTTAGCATTTCAAATCATGTATAAATCAATCAATCACTGTTGTGCCCAATTAATTAAGAATATTAAACGTAAAAATGGTCATTCAAAAAATCCACAGTAGTCTGCTGCAGCATGGGTTAAAAAGCACTTGAAGGGCAGTCTGGGAACGAACTCCTGTGGGTGACATTGTTTCTATGGGAAAATGCACTCTGAATTCCAGACAACCCATTTACCCACTAACTTTTGGGATATGACCCTTGAGTACGTTGGAGACTGACTAAAAATACCAAATATTTTTATGTATTTTTTATCAATGCATTAAAAACACATTCTTTGGCTTTATCTTAATAGATTGAAGCAGATTCTAGACTCTTCCATATGAGTTGCTTTCCTGACCTTTGAAGCACAATTAAAAGAGGGCTTGTGGATTTTCTGCAAAGAAAAGGTCTGGCTATTTTAATTAGTTTAATGTATGTAAGATCAATTATTTTGAGACAGTAGACAAACAAAATCATTCATACCGTTGGCAGATTTGCACTAATGATTTCACAAGGGTAAATCACTTTCAGGTTACAAAGGACAGATGCATGCAGTCCATGTGGGAATGTTTGGAAACTATTTCTAGACTCCCTTTTTTCAAAGGCGCATGCTATGTGTGGAATTAACTGGACTCTGTTTCTTTAATTGCTTCTTAACCCCACACAAGAACGATGGTTCCTACTCAGAGTGACGTGACATTTATATGCTATCAAACTTCCTGTCCTTTTGACCATTTTCTGAAGGATACAATATTTTTCCTTTGCCACTGGAAGTTGGGTCCCCTGTGAGGATTTACACCGGAGAATGAGTTGAGGAAATGTGTGTATGGTGGACGGTCTGTTTGAAACTCATTTAAACTGAAACAAAAACTGCTTTGAGTGGCTTTGAGCAAGTCACTCACTGCACAGCCTCATTATCTTGACCTGCACAGTGAGGGGTTTGCATCCATGACCAGAAGTTCCTCCCCAGCCCTGTGTTCTGTTTCTGTGGTGGGTGATCACATAAGGATGGGGAGCCCGTGTCCTTCCAAAAGCTTGTCTCTCCACTCACATCACTTCTGTGGGGAGTAGAGAGGAACCGCCTATGTCACAATCACTTATCTTCGGTTTATATTAACTTTAAAATGTATTTTAACAAATAGCAAGTTAGGTGTCTGTGAAAAACAATCTATGTTCTCCAAATTTGTCTTCTCTCTTTCTTCTTTTTCTGTCTTTCTCCCTCCCTCTCCTTCCTTCTTTTCTTCCTTCCTCCCTCCCTCCCTCTCCTTTTTCTTTCTTTCTTTCTTTTCTTTCTTTCTTTCC